TACAAAAACTCTTCGATCACACTCTTAATATCATGGCTGTTAGACGAAAAATGAAACTGCAGTCTTCAGCAGATTTGAAACTGAACAGACAGATACCCAAATAAATGCGGCGGGACTTACGAAACTTTCATAAAGCTCGTATTGAAGAAGCGAGGGAGCAGAATCAGGGCTCCAAAGTCTTTGTCAGAGATCTGTCTGCCAGAAAGAGCCAACTGTCGGTATATCGAAGTGCTGAAGTGTTTGTACAGTAGGGCTACGATGGCTATCCAAGTACAGAACCAGAGTATGAAACCTATTCATACTGCAGAGAGATGTTAGACAGGGTGACTTTATATCCCACAAAACTAAGATCTAATAAGATCTACGCCGGTGGAAGTGGGGAGCACTAAATCTTGAAGTTGGTGACGAGTATGTTCACCTTGGACAAATAGACCAACCAGGTGAGTCCAACTTCGATCGAGAAGTCAATCGATGGATTTAATTCGACTGAGCAGCGTTCGGGAAATTAAGAAACATCTTCTCGTCAGGTATACCTCAAAACTTGAAAACGAAACTGTACAACCAGTGCGTGTTGCCAGTGATGACTTATCGATCTGAGACGTGGACTTTCGTCATATCAGGAAGCTCAAGGTCGCTCAGTGAGCTATGGAGAGGGCTATGCTCGGTGTTTCTTTGCATGATAAACTTAGAAATGAGAATATCCATAGTAGAACCAGAGTGACCAACATAGCCAAACGGATTAGTAAGCTGAAGTGGCAATGTGCCGTCCATATGGATCGATAAAACGACAACCGATGTGGAAATAAAATTCTTGAGTGGCAGCCTCGTACCAGTAGCCGAAGTGTAGAGTGACTCCCTATAAGATGAAGTATCGACTTGATAAGACAGGTAGTAAGTCGTTGGATGCAGGTGGCTCAGGACCGTGCTTTGTGGCATTGTGCATGTGGCATCTCTTGGAGGCTTATATTAAGCATTGAACTTATGAAGGGCTGTAATGATGATGATGATAAATTTTCGTCAAAAGCTTTAGCCCGCAGACAATCGATAAGAACAGTAACTCGAGTAGGTACTTCAGGCGCCTTAGCTGTCAAAATAATCTAAGTTTATATCGAAAGACAGAGATAGATTTGCCTTTAAATAAATTATGCAGCAGATTTCTGATACGATGAGAGTGTCAACAAAAACTTTTGACGGTAACTTGACGGCCGGTGGATTTCCCTAATATATTATTTTTTAAATAACGGTTTGAATCGGATATATAATATACGGAAAAGTGCTGCGATTTTGTGCCTAAAAGTCTGCGCATGTATTTATTACGTATAATAATGTAACTATTATTTGGATGTTTTAACTTTATATGGAAACGACGTAGCTAGTGCTTCGACAGTGACATAAATCTCAAGCTTTTTAACCACTTAAGTACCTTGAGATATTACCATCATCAACTGTCCGCTGGGTTAAACTGTCATCGAAATCTCGTAAAAGCTTTACAATGTGGCATATGAGCATATTGTACAGCATTTTATGAACAAAAAAACACGTCAGACCAAGAGCGGAACTCACGGCCTGAGGTAAAGGGCTTGCCCGAGTTATCAACTGCGATTGAACTTGGCGAACCTTTTTTGATGTGGTGGGTTGTGTGGGTTCCCCCTAATACTGTAGCCGAGATGAAGTCGCGGGGAAAAGGAGTGTTGGTATGATTGTGGAGTTTAATGCCGTGGAGGAAGGCGCACCTTGTGCTCTGGTACGCCTTACCTCAGATGGAAAAAGTAGAACAGATGTCCTCTCCTGAGTAGGAGCAGCTTTGGGGAGGCCTACGTCAGTGGGTCATGGATGTCTGTTTATGTTTACTATGGAGGATATGACATACCAGATAAGGGGGGACTTTCTATATTTTCTGCCAAACATATGAATAGGTATTAAAAAAATAAAGTAATATTAAATATTGCAAATATTAGAAGTCTCTTTTATTTTTAACACATTTTTTTCATAAGTAACATGACTGCATCACAACAAACTATTATGCAGCAAGTTTCCTGTGATATCTGCGTTGCGGTAGCACTTGTCATAAATATACGAATATAAATTTAAAAATCTAACGGGTCACTCACGTCCGTATGCTTTCTACCATCTAAACCTAGGCCCACCCTACACGTTCTTCAGGGTTGTGCTAAAACACCGACAATCCAGAACAAACACATGGCAGTTCGCAGCCGTATATAAAAGGGATTCTCAATTGAAAAAGAAATTGAATAATGATTTCTATGAACACTATTTTTACGGATTTTATCGCGTTTAATTTATTTTGTTTTTAATACCCGACGTTTCGGGTACTTTCCAACATCTATGGTCACGGGGGATAAGGTGACTGACGTCCCGATGTCAGTGTTAAACCGGAGTACCTTCAGCTTTTTAATTATTTTTTTGGTCCGATCTACGCAGAATAAACTTACTGTGTTTTGAAGTCTTGCAGAGGTATGCTTGGGTTTAGTTTTATTTTTATTAATTATGGGGTCCCAAGCAGGTGGTAGTACCCAGATTTCTTCCCTATTGAAATTAAGATGTTTTTTTAATTACAATAGCCTCACCTATCATCCTTGGTAGGAACCGATGTTTTTTCGCAGGATTTGTGGTCTATCAAATCTGATGGAATGGTAGGGGCCGTCTAGGGTGTGATCACAAACTTCAGACTTCCCCGGACGCATAGCTTCACACATAGCCGACGTGAAGCATCAACGTTTCGGGAAGTCTGCAGTATAATATAATACATATATATATATATATATATATATATATATATATATATATATATACCGTATGTTATGCTACCTTATCTAGGACTTGTTTGTTTTCTTTATTTATCAAAGATGTCTCTGTCAGCGATTCTAGTATTTCTTGCAAAGTTGTAACTTTGTTCTTTAAATACCGTTACTGCGATTGAAGCCTTTTTATGCCATTGCTTTTTATTTCGAGGCGAGTTTTTAGTTTAATTTTCCTTGGTGTATAGTCTGTTCGCTTAGACAAAGTCGCTTTTGTGCTGCACTGTCGCATTTTGTCTAAGGCGCGACACTACAGGTCGTGTTGTAAAGTACCCGAAACGTCGAATCGAAAAGTCAAAATTAAACGCGATAAAATCCGTAAGATTAGTTTCTTTAATGTGTGGTGTTTGTGTAAATATTAGAAGTCATTATTGTAAACTAATCGAAATCCTAAAATATTTTGAAGAAGAAATAATATTGGTGTCAAGGGTAATAATATTTAATCTATTGATATAATTATAGCTAGATATTACCAGCCACAAGTTCAAGGTTGGTACAGCAGTATCGGCTAACTATCTTTTATTGATAACTTGGGGTAATAAATATGAATTATCAAAATGTTCCAAGAAAATGGGCCTAGTCCGGTAGGTATCCAACATTCATGATTTCTACAAGCTGTAATCCAAGTCCTACCTAAGCGGATCTCTTGGAAATATGTACCTATGTGATATCAAACCAATCATAGAAAAATTTACTGCTTTTTGCAATACCCTATTATAAAATCTAAACAAAAAATAAAAATCAGTTGGGCAAACAAACCCGAATGTATTTATTTATTATATATTTTTTTATTATATTATCGGTAGCTTAAGTTGTGGCATACATCACTACATTGCAGTACTTTCGGTTGCAGTGATACCAGTTTATTTTATAGAAATTGCATACATTTGCTACGAGTTGACAAGTGTCGGTACGACTCATTCGGCCTTTATTTTGTATTTTTTGTATTTTATATTTTGATAAATACTAGTTATCTATTATATTAAATTATTATAATATATTCATAATCGTGTTGAAATTGAGCTGAATATTCAAATCATTTGACAAAATTCACTACACATCTTCATGTAATGATTGTTATACATCATAAACTAACTTAGTTAATAGGAAATAAATTTTAGTTAATATATTTAATTTGTGTAGTAACTTATATTTATTTTAAAAAAAGCTTATTTTTCACTTCATGAACTATGATATATGATATGACAACACTTGTTATTTTACGAAAATATTTAGAAAATACAAGTTTTAAGGATAATATTATGTTAAAAATATTCACGGATGAAAAGTCACGTTGTCCTAATGTGGATTTGACGTTTTTGAGTGTTTTTGCATGCAAATTTGCATGCACTGCAATTCGTCAATTTTATCGGATCTAGATTGACTGGCACTATCACTTGCGGAATGTCGCACAACGCGGAGCAACTAGTTTTATATAACGGGTATGAGTATGACTCGTACCTTTGACAGAGAGGTATAATTATATGCCTTGCGATGCCACCTCTTTTGGCCTACAATACCTTCCTACAATACTCAAAGCTTAGTGCAGTTTTTTTATTGAATATCCAAGAATACTACATACAACACAGTAAATCTAAATTATATCGTTTACATTTATGGTCACGCATTAAGTACGCTTCGATATTTAACGATAATGATTTCTAAGATTTACGTGCACACTGCACTTTGAATAAAACTATTTTTACAGATTTTATCGCGTTTAATTTTATTTAGGTGCAAATGAAGAAATTAAAAAGTTTGAAAGAATATTTTCGTATTCTTGTTTTTCTTGTCTACTAGATATGTATCTTGAAAACCACAGAAGTGCTTAGAGAAATATAATATATAAGACAATCCTCTAAATACCTTTATAAACAAAAAGCTCTGAGCAAAATCTTTTTTATTTCCTTCTACTATGAGAAATCACCATGTTAAGCGCAAGCCACCACTTTAGAGCTGAATTTTAGAAGTAAAGCTAATAGCCATAGATCGAGAAAAAAAAACTAAATAAGCTACAAAATTTAAAATATAAAAACTGCTGTAACAATCCGAGTTATTGAGTAACGTCAGAATAAAAACTCATAAAAATAATTATTAGTTTCAGTATAATATAAAGTAAACATATTATTTGAAATGCGTGAAACTACGAGTACTATCTACAAAGCTATGTGTGAAACTTACGTGATGGCCCGGGGCTCGTTGGCAGAACTGGTTGCCGACAACAAATAAGTGTAATACATTATATATACAAACACCAAAACACAGATACAAACATCGTTATAATATTTATATAAAGGTTACGGTCTAAAATTTTAAGACATTAAAGTATAATATTGCAATGTACAACGTATTTGCATTTTGATTCTTAATCGAAGATAAATGTAGATATATATGAGCCGCAGCATCGACTTACCATCAGGCATCAGGTGGACTATGTAATAGGGGTGACAAACGAGTACACTCGTTTATCACCCCTATTCCATTAATATAATATATGTAAGTTATTGGAACCATCGTTCAAATACACTCATGGATATAGTAGAGTCTTTTAATCTGTGGAGATAGTAAAAGAAACACAAAAAGAGAGATTATGTTTTCATTACGAATCAACCCACAACCACACACCACAGTTTATGTAATTTGAACAAAAATAGGATTCTATCTGATTTATATTCTATAGCGTTTTTAGTTGTGTTAATTTAATAAAAAAAACCATGTGTGCAGTTCACACGGTAGAAGTGTAACCAATTAATGAAGTGAAATATGTACGAAATAAAAATATTTCACGGCAAATGATTTATTTAGTACGATCATTTTGAACCACAAGTGAGGCATAAAAAGGTAAAAGTATGTTTTTATAGTAAATAAATGTTACAATCCTTATTTTTAGATATGCAGAGCCAAAATTTTATTGAAATAAATCAAAAGAATATTTTTCTTTCGTGTGAAATTGCTTTGTAGTAATATAAATATAAATAAATAGTGTCATCTACTTCATTCTACTGGTAAACTAACTTTATTGAACAAAAATGGACTATCAAGGTGGTACGTAAAATAGACGCTAGGTGACACAAATATGACTAATTTAATTTAATATTCTACCTCATTCTCTCGCAGGCTAAATCCTATAGATATAGTATATGTTTGTCTCTTTTCAGTGTCGCTTTTTCGTTTCACCAAGTTTCAAATCACCATTTTTTTATAGAATAAGGGTGGCAAACGAGCAAACAGTCCACCTGATGGTAAGTGGATGTTGTGGCCTATAGACATCTACATTTATCTTAAATTGAGAATCAAAATTCAGATGCGTTGTCACCCCTGAGAACTGAGATGGAATGTCTCGTTTCCAATAAAGATGGTATAAAAGTTTTCACTTCAAAAAGATCATACGACGATGACAGAAATATTCCTAGATCTGTAACTTTAAAATAGCTATAGGGTAGGATTTACAATTGTACGAGTACATTCTGTTATTTCTCAAAATCTTGAACGATACCGGCAGATTGGAACATATGTGTGGCAAGGGGCATGTTCCTAAAAGAGTTACAGAAGCAAAGGACGACAAACTTATTGTAGTATAATTAATAATAAAAGCACAGACAGTCAAGACTGCAAATATACTTACCTATATACTCGTATTATAACATCTCAGTTTTAATTAATTGTGAATTTTCTGTTAAACTACTGTACCGCTTTTTTCAATAAGTTTATCAAACAAAATTTTTATTCGTTAATGTTAATTTAATAAATCGGTCTATATTAAAAGCTCAAAAACATAATTAGAAATATTTTATGCTAAGCCAATTTATCTTTTCTGCTTACCTATCTCCATGAGTGTATTAGAATTTATTTGAATGGATATTTCGTAATAATCAAAATGTTTTTGACAAACAGCCGTAATCAATTGATCAATGATCACAAATCACAAGTATAATAGGATTTAAGTAAATCGACATTAAACATTTGAAATTTTATATTTACAAAGGCAAACATTTATTAGTAAAATATTTAAATAAGGGAAACTCTATTTCAACTTACCATACATGATGCATCGTGAACTTTTCCAAGTCTGGGTCGGACAAATGGTGTTGTTTGTCTCCAGAGAAAAATTTGCACTGGAATGGGTATAACTTCTTCATTGCTGCTGTCATCTTCCGATGATTCCTTCATTTTGGTTTTTTTTTTATTTCTCTAATCCTGTCAGAAAAGCATTTTATTTGATTTTGGAATAAATTGATACAATGTTTTTGTATTCAATATGGATTATAAACCCTACTTATTGAAAGTAATTCTTATGTTTAATTTACCACTGATTCTTAAAAACCCTCTGTCCTAGCAAGAACCCGCAAGAATCCCAACGGTACTTTTTCAATAAAATAAACAGCTTACAATCGTATATTATGTTATACAAGTAATTATAGATATTATATGATTTCTTATATTTACGCGAACACTACACATTGATTAAAACTACTTTTATGGATTTTATCGCGTTTAATTTGAATTATTTTTAATAATCTCAGTCCCCCGTGACCGTCGGAAATTAAAAATAATTCAAATTAATTGCGATAAAATACGTAAAAGTAGTTTTAATCAATGTATAGATATTATATTAGAAATGACTTAACCTAATTCCCAGGGGTTATTGTCATTCATAAATCCCTTAATATTATACATAATAGCCCTTTGTATATAATCTTTGTTTAATATATTTTTTGAACTTGGCTGGATTTTGTTGTAAAAGCATTGTCCCAAGAATGAACTACAGACTCTGTTGAGTCGACTGAATCGAGCAGGTAACTGACACTACCGGCTTTGAACACAATGAATATCGTTAATTTTCGTAAATATCTTGAGAGTTAGTATGTTGATTGCTATATTATTTTTTTATCTTAGAGACCCTTCAGGTTTTAAATCGTATATTGCTAATCCTATTCTGCAACATAAATATAATTTCAGTATCAGCCGCGTTTGCTCATAGCAAAATACCATATGGGATTTCTATTTTTTTTGAAGCATACGTACGTTGGAGAACTAAATCTGCTATCTAGTTTAGATAATATGAAATAGAGGAACCCATGAAGCTTCACGTCCAGAATGATACCAATAAATAAGATTAAAATCAACTCAATTCAGAGAGTGACAAAAATAGATATACAAAAGTTTTTAAATGTATTGGCACATTATATATCCCCTATTGTTTAATTAAGTTACACTTACGTTTTATATCCCGTTACCACTGGTCATAATGAAAGTAATTTATAAACACTGTAAACATCACGTTGATAGTTAAAGTAGAACTTTTTTATTATATCACAAGATAAGTAATAGATGTGGGATAACAGCACAGGGTGCTTATAGAACGTACACACGCAGTAACACGGGGGAGTCTTGACTGAGAGTGAGGTTCTGCGCACTCGTTTTTAGTCATCTTTATAGGGTTGATATCTTATACTTGTCCTAAATATTATACTTTTACAGATAAAAGATAACAATACTTTAATATTATTGAAAATTTATTCGATTTCATTTCAATGACTTTGATAGTAAAATTAAGTTTCTGATGAAACATTTTCAATAATATCTCAATAAAATTAGGCATAATTTTATTGAGATATTCACGCATAATAACTGATTACAAAATCATTATGTTCAATTTAAGACGCCTAATCCGTATCATACATTCTCATAATGAGGCTCAGGTATTAGTTGTATATCAGAGCGCGGGTAATGGTCCTTTGTGCACAGTGACCTTATAGGAAATAGAGAAACTCTTTTTCCTATAAGATCATTGTTTGTGCATAAGGCCATTTGTTCAACGTGGTTAGTATGAGCTAATCTTTTAAATTATGCTTTACTGAAAGCGCACTCTGTAAAGATCATCCGTTAATAAATTATTAAAGGCTGCTATAGAAACTATGGCTAGAAACAAGTCATTTATTAAGATACTACGAATGAATTTGGTCAGTATAAGTACTGTTATCACATATTTGTTTTTTATTTTTTATACTTATTAGTTTTAGGTTATACTTAACACTTCCATGTGCTTATATTACCATGAGTCGTAAGTACAACGTGGATTACTCGTGTAATAAAATAATAAGTTCAATATGTACGTTTAAACTGAAAACTATTTCAATGTGTGGCAACCCTATAACTACATTGATCTGCCTGCGCACTGTTTCTGTGACGCAGCCTCTCGTTTCTGTGGTGACGAATACAGGATGATTTCTATATTTTCAGCTTTCATTTCAAAATATTTTAGTCTTACACATTCTCTTTTAAATAGTGAAAATATTACCTAGTGGAATAGAAATAAAATATTTAGCTACAATCTTTATTATTTGGTCCGTAACAAATCATTAATTCACTAAAATTTTAAGTTTAAATAAGATTGTCTGCATTTAATATTTATAATATATGCGAATTATTCAGTGACGTTGCATGAAGTGAATGCCACACAGGCTGCTCTGTAATCTATACATATTCTTTGCCGCTACCGCCGTTTTGTCATGCCTTACTCCTTAAAACTTGTTCCTATTTAAGTTTAAATGTATTTATGAATAATTATCTACCTAATACATATAATGTTTTTTTATAGAATAAAGGTGGCAAACGAACACACAACCACCTGATGGTAAGTGGATGCTGTGACCCATAAACATCTACATCTATCCTCGATTAAGAATCAAAATGCAGATGCGTTGCCACCCCTGAGGACTAAGATGAAATGCCTCGTTTCCAGTAAAAGGGTCTCCGGTTCTTTACACTCACCACACGAAATACAAACAATCGTTATCATAACATACAATAAATAAACTCTCACGCCTGTTACCTGGAGGGGTAATCAAAGACCACGGTCTTGCATTTGTCCTGATCCACAACTTATCAAAAAACTAATATATAAAAATTAATGTTTGTTTGTTCGAATATTTTAGGCGCTGCCATACCGTTCATCAGATTGCGCTAATACTTTGTCTTTGTCAAGTTATTGTTTGCACAGCTGCGCGAAGGCTAGGCATAGTACCTACAATTCATTTACACTAGGTGGCTCGCGTATCGAACCGACAAATTTACTTCAAAGTTATACCTATATACCTAATTCAATTTAAATGAATTTATTATCATTCCTAATTAAACAATATAACTTCCAAATTTAAAACGATAACTATTTCCACAAATATAACTTCTACAGTAGCAACGCGCCGGGTGCCAGCTAGTACCATATAAAAATTACTAAATTACTATTATATTAGATATTAAAATAATAACTTTTAATAAAAATTAACAGTTGACTTAAAACAACTAAAACAGATAAAGTAAATTCACAATCTGACGTCGGGGCGCTCTTCTATGCCACTGACTTTTAAAAAATAATTTTTTTTGCCACCTTTAGAGGTAAAATCTTTTATTCGATATCGGACCGGACCACCCCTAAAGTTTGTTTTTACCTATTTAAAAAAAAAAGAATCATCAAAGTTTTTATAGGGTAGGGTGACAAACGAGCACACAGTCCACTTGATGGTAAGTGGTTGCTGTGGCCCATAGACGTCTACATCTATCCTCGATTACGAATCGAAATTCAGATGCGTTGTCACCCGTGAGGACTAAGATGGAATGCCTCAATTCCAGTATAACGGGTCTCCGGTTCTATACACCCACCATACGAAACACAGCAGCATTAGGCTACTATTTTACGCTGGTATTCTGTGAGAGTGTGCTCCTTCCCCGGTCGAGCCGACCTATTCGTGTTACAACTATACTACTAATATAATTGCAGAATTTGACAAAGGTATCGCGTGACATACCATATACAAAAAAAACCTTTAGGTGAATGAGATTTCGCTTTCGCTCACCAGATTGAAACTAGTTGGGACTGAGGTGAATTTATGTGTTACACTGTCAATAAGAATAACAAGTTACGTTTTAAATAAAATTATTAGTTTTTACACAAAGTGACGCCTTACTCAATGTTTACTCTTTTAATTTTCTGCAATTTTTTAATTTTTTTATTTTACTACATTTGGGAATATCCGCAGTTTGGTTTATTTATTCTAATCTCATCTAAATATTATAAAATATAACCGATATTTCAGAAAGAAACATAAACTCTTACATTTTTCCAACACATTAACTTCCTCGCCATGCAATCTTTCAAAACAGGACGGCCAAATAAGAGATCTATAACTTAATTTATAAAATTTACTTTAAGTAAACAAAAGTTACAAGGTACATTTTCATAAAAACCTAATTTAGGCTTGGCAATTACGCGTGGAATATAACGTCTGCCAAATGTACACCTCTAGCAGCATGACAAATGAGAGTTCTTTTGATCACGTTTCTCATCATATTTTTGCACACTTCCGGTGTTATGACACTGACTGAAATCTTAATTACTAGTTTTAAGTATTGAAGATTCATCATCTTATTAGCATAAACACGTCCTTTTAGATATCCCCACAGAAAAACGTCAGGAGCTGTGAAATCTGGTGATATTGGTGGCCAACCAATGTCACTGTTTCTAGAAATTAGACCTTAAACATTCTTCTGAATGTTCCGATTGAGTCACGTGCCGTATGACATGTGGCCCCATCTTGTTGGCTCCACATGTTTTTTAATCCCCAACTGATTCATTTGATGATCCAAAAAATTTTTCACCATCTTACGGTAACGATCTCCATTCACTATTACAGCAGCAACCGTAGCACCTTCAAAGAAGTAGGGTCCAATTAATCCTCTTAACTAAATTTCACACCAAATTATTATTCGACGTGGGTTCAGAGGTCGTTCATGGACCAAAGAACGTTGTTCTTCACTCTTAAAGCGCGAATTTTGTTTATTAACAAATCCACTATGATCAAAATGGGCTTTATAACTCTCAATTATTTTTTGATGAAAATATGGGTCGCTTTCCAAATTGGTTAGCATAAAACTGCTGAAGTTTAGACATCGTTCGTGATCCCGAGGCTTAAGTTTATGATTTATCTGAACCTTATATGGGAACAGACCCTGATCTTTTTTCAGAATAGTCTGTAGAGAGGTCCTCTTAATATGCGATTGTTGAAAACGTGGTCTGGTAGACAATGTCGATTCTTCGGCTTCACTTTCACGAACAATTTTTTTTTATAACATAGTGTGACAAACGAGCACACAGTCCACCTGATGGTAAG